ATTGTGCCTCCCTGGACGGATCCAAAAGTAGCCAAAAAGACCCGCGAAATCATGGAAGAAATTGGACAGACTCCCGTGTCTCTAAGTAGGGAAATCGAAGGATTTGTTCTGAATCGAATTCAGTACGCAATTCTTAACGAAACTTGGAACTTGATCAATGATGGCGTTCTCGACGTTAAAGACACTGATAAAGTTATGTCTGATGGGTTGGGACCTAGATATGCGTTCATGGGACCACTTGAAACGGCGCATTTGAACGCAGATGGATTTAAGAATTATTGCGATCGTTATGCTAATACTATTCATGCTGTGAGCAAGACTTTTAAGCCGCTGCCGAAGTTTGAAGGACCAAGAGTTGCACAGATTGCTGAAGAGCTGGAGAAGAAGGTGCCATTAGATCAACTGCAGGCTAGGCGGAATTGGAGGGATATGTGCTTAACTAAATTAAGCCAACTTAAAAAGGAAACATAGTGTGTTTTCAGTACATCGTTTTATGAAAGGCTGTATAAAGCTATATTACAATTACATATTGTCGTAGTAGTAGTAGATGTTTAGTTACTTTATTTTTTCGACAACATAATTCCTAAAATATTGATAAATTGTTGATAAGGCTAGAGGAGTGTGGCTTATCGTGAATTGTTGGTTTAGTTCGTGTGAATTGCACGCAGCGGACGCATCATGAATCCGCAGTATGAATTACACATAAGAAAACTCACAACTCAGGATTTAATACCAATCATACAAAAAGTAAGTCTGAAAAAGATTTTGATGTAAATTTACTTCATTTACTTTTAGAGTCAGTATTCTCACCTCACAAATGTTATTGCGGAATTTAAAATATCAGGCAATGATTTAGTTGTAAGTATGCTTTTCCTAGAGATCATAAAAAGAGATTTATAAATTAAAACACGGAAATCTAATTTCAGGAGTTGAAAGAATACGATGTAATTTTAAAATTCGGAAACAATGCAAAGCGAAAACAATTTCAAGTGCTTTTAAATGATGTGCAAGCCACACCCCACAAGTTGTTTCCGCTCAAACCAATATTGAAACCTCCGCGACGTAGTTCAGTTATAAATCAAAGTAC